CTACTTTTCCCTACCTACAGTTTCTATTCTCTGAACACTCACTGTCCTTCAGCTATTTGAGAATTTATCATAACTATGAGTGTTTTCTTACTCAGTAAGTTTTATAACAACATATTAACATTAATACAAGGCCTGGATTACCCTGCAATGCTCAAGCTTGTTAGCTGCAGGCATTGGCTTTGCTCACTAAATGTCTCGAGAATTTGGCACAGCTAACACTAACTGTCCAGGGAAAGACTAGCAGGAGACATTTGATAAAGAAAACTGAACATAACTAAAAGTCAGACAGAAGGACGAGAGGTAATATTGGAATTGCAAAACAGAGTATAAGATTATCATTTTACTCTACCACATCTATAAATAAATATGCATGCAAATTAGGTTTCAGAGGCAATAAATAAATGAAAATTGGAGGTACTGATCCTTTCTTCTATCCACTGTTGTCCACTCCCTGATAGAGCACTGAACAAAAATTCAATGAAATAATTATGCAAATAGAGAACTCCAGCAGTCAAAAGAGGTAGTCTGAGTGGAGGGGAAAAGCTTGCTCCAGAACATACCTGAGGTTCTAACTTCCAGACTGCTCACAAAATCCCAGGTGGCCAGAGGATACCTGTGGTTGTTTGTGGTTTTTTAACCAATTCTTCTGCTAAAACATCTTTTATGAAACACATGCCATAGGGCTTCAGGGAGAAATTACGTCATGCAATGGGAAGTAAAGTCAGTTCAAGGGTACTTTTCAGGCAGTACTCAGAAACAGTTTCACTGTGACTGAACATCTGGCCAAAAGTCCAAATTAAACTTTGCTAAAGAGACATGCAAGTATAGGTTTGTAATGAAAAGAAAAGAAAAACGTGGCTTATCAATCCTTTATGGGAGAAAGTGAATGCTTTAATAGGGCTTAATAAATACTTACTGCCCCTAGTAGCACTTAACAGCTGTGTAATAACAGCAGTGTAAATAGGCCAAATGAGAGTAAGGCTATTTAGTTGGACAAAACTGCAGGAACAGGGCCTTAAGTTTACACAGCCAGACACATATCAAAAAAATAACTCTACTTACAGTAGTTAAATTGCAGTCATTCCTGAAAAGAATACACTTCATAAATAAAAATGCAGCTCTGTAGGAGCAACTGCTAAGAAATGCCTACAAAGACATCTGATGGTCAAGTCTGAAGAATGAAATTTTTAGACAGGGGGAAGAATAGTTGTTACAATGAATACCTTCCCACACTTCTCAACATCTTCTCTTCAAATACATCAAAGTAATGCCTGGACTAGTTCTTCAGTAGAGAGGTTGGACTCTGAATCCTGTGAGGAATAACCTCATTAATTTTGTGACACAGTTTACTGGGGTTTTCTTTTTGTCTTTTTAATCTTACTATATACTAAATGATACTTACTTTATACTAAATGATTTCAGATACACCGTGTCCCTGTAATGTTTTAATATAAATAGAATCTCACGTAGATTTAACTTATTAACGGTATAAATGTTAAATATGGGAAGAAACAAACTGCAATGGGAATTAAATTTCTAAAAAGAAATCTTTCTTCAAAAACATAAATAGAAAAATCCTGATTTTGAGTTTATGAACACATCATGAATAACCTGATGAAAGATAAAAGATCATCAAAAATGAGGTTTGTAGACAGATTTCAAAACTAATATTTAAAGGGGAAGATCTTGGAAAGAAGCAGGTTATACACTAAAATTTCTTCAGATTGGTTCCGTAAGACTATGTCTGAAATAATCCAAACAGCTCAACAGCAGTAATCTCACTAACGGCCATTCAAATACCATGCAGGAATCCACACTATGTCTATCCAGGATGCTCTAGATTTAACTATAAAGCCTGAAGTGCTTCAGGGATCTTTCTCCAGATGAGGCAATACCGACAATGCTGATGACCCAAACCACAGATACTCATGACCAATGGAAGACAGCAAGTTCCAAACAGTCTCTTTTCCACACACACAAAAAAGAGATGGACACAGAATATGATACACGAAGAATAAGAGAGAGGTAAATGTAGCCCTCTGAAGTCAAACAAAATGACCAAGACAGGAAACTTTATAAAGCTTTTCCTCTTCCTCTTTTTTCTTCAACAGACACCCAGCTGGGTATATTAGATGTGCAAGAAATAAGGGCATGAACAAAATTTTGACAAGTGAGTTGATGGGATAAGATTGAATTTCCACAAAGCATTCAGAACAGATGAGTTTTTGTATGAGCTTGCAGAACAGCCTGATCTTTAAAAACCTTGTCAGAATGCCAACCCGGGATGATCACCCACTGAAAAACAACTTTCCAGGATATGGTACTGAAGACATTCAGAAGAAAATCATTCCAAATAGATTTTCATTAATTTAGCCAGAACAAAGTTAATAATCCATGACGTAAATGTTTCTTTCTTTACTAGCTTGTTAAAAACCTTAAATTCTCCCCTATAAAAATCTTACAGCAGGGGGCTGACAGAGATTAGCTTCTTCTTCAAAGTCATTAAATAAATAATTAACCAATAATAGCTGGTAAGTTACCTTGACAACAAAGATTATTAAAATGAGATTGCCCAAGGGAGAATGAGAGGGTATTTCCAAACTGTGGTGTTAATCAAACTACTTCAAAGCAGCGCAAGGACTTGGTGCTGGCAGGCTGTCACTGCCTCTGGTGGATTCATGCAGCCTGACATGGAGCTGGGAGCTACTGCAGCCTCTGGCAAAAGGACTAATTCAGTGATGTGCTTCTGTACAGCAAAAGGTCAAAACTATTTTTTAAGCAAAGAAAAGGAAACAGAAGATTGGAAGTACCTGAATTGCAGGACTATTAATAACATGTCAGTCCTACTTGGAAATTAGTATGAGCTGTATGCCCCCAAGGTGTTACATAAGATGTTTTGGCAAAGCCTATAAAAAAAGGCAGCTACAGAATGCTTCAGATATATCCACACATGCTAAAAGCATCCTATATTCAATCTGTAGAAACTTAAAGATAGCACAAGATATACTGGGCACAGCTAATTTGAGAGATCGCAACATGTGCCCTTTACCTTTAATGATATTTCATTCCAGGGTGGCTGGACGTGACAGTTATGGAATCAACTTCCAAAAGGTGAACTTTATACCTCTGCCCTTCTTTATGTCTCTTTCTTGTTTCTAAGTTCGTAGAGAAGGAACTAATGGGCAAAGCATAACATTACTGTTCCATTCACTTAAAGACAGTTTCTAAGGTGGTATAATATTTCTGGAACACAGAAACAGAGAATATTTTGCTTCTCAAAACCCGTATTTGGGAATCAGGAGGAAGAGGGGCCTTGTCAGCGAAACTTAGTAATAGAGCATGAGGTTGTTAACGCTATCAAACCAGTTACTGTTCTAGCAAATAGGAAGTCGCTTAGAGAGGCCTGTCAGAGCCCTTCAGGTGAGCCTCTGAATTAGATTATGCATAAGATAGCATAGACAGCAATACTCAAGATCCTGCTGTCATGTAAGACTGTTCTACAGTAAGTGATTTGTTGGTGCAGGATAGATAATTTTTTCAACACATTGGAAATTGCTTTGATCCTCTGAAATAAGAGGCCTTTGCTCTTGTTACAGCATACCTCAGAGTTACTAACAAAGATCAAAAGCATCTTTTCTTTCTAAGCCAAGATAGCCATAGACTTCCTCCTGTGCAGAAAGAATAGACCAGTGCTCAGAACTACAGTGCATGTAATTGGGATGTCCCACATTTTGCCACTGCTATGACAGAACCTGAGTCGGCAGTGAGTCTGAGTCCTCCTCTTCAAGGAGGAAATGTCCATATCCCCCTCTCAGAGGATTTTAGTCTTTGCAGCTACAAAGTAGTTTTAGTAGTGCACAAATAAGTAAAACAAACATCCCCACTCATGTTCCCGGAAAATCTTGACCTGCCCGCTTCTCTGAGAAACTCCCTATCTCTCCTGGTTTCCCATAAGCCTCACACTTTGCTCTTCAGAAGCTCTTCCAAGCCAGCACTTGAGTTCCCTCTGGAAGGACCCCTCACTGCCTTCCTGAACAGGCTGCAGCAGCCCAAGTGGCCAACAGCACCCTCCCCACAGCTTAACCAAGCCCCTTCTAGACTCACTGTAACACACAATACCCACAGTTGCCAACTCACAGGCTTAACCACTGTGTCCTCTCTCAATCCATCTCAGGTTAAGGCTAAATTTGCACAAAAAGTTTCTAATCAAGCTTATATACTCAATCTCACTGAAGTTTTACCCAATAGCTTCAACAGTGATAGAAATGAGATTCTTAACTGTGTCTAAAGTAAACCAGAAACACGTTGAGCCCCATGGATAGTCCAAGACCTGTGTTTCTAAATTATTGCATATATATCATTGGAAATAGCACCTAAAATTATATTTAAATTGCTGCAAGAAGAATTCTGATATCTGGGATTAATTGCCAGGAATCCTTGAGACGTTGCTTACACCAGTCAAATACGTTACCAAAATCTGGAACCTGAACTAGTAGTGCATATTTCACATGCTTAGACAATTATCAGCTGCTAGAGACTTCTGAGGCTATCGAAACATGACAAACTGAATACATCAGATGGATTCAGTCCATTTAACTAAATATGAAATGCTGTAACAGCCCAATACTTATCAGAGTTGTATTATCCTTCCAGATTAACTCTTTCACAACAGATGTCTAATAAGCATAAATATAATAAGCAAGCAGCAACAGCACAAGACTACCTTAGAACAATTTTCTTTTTTAAAATAGAAAAAGATGCTTAAGAATGAAATATGCAAAATCAGCTCTGAGTTAGTGCCTTCACGGACATAACATCACATCTAAACCACTCAGTCTGGGAAATAAAATAAATAATGAAGTCAGGAAAAGCTGACCAAAGACTACAAGCTCAGATTTGTCTGTACTCATCTTATTCTTCTTCTGAGGTAATACAGTCACAGAAAACTGTCTCATGCCAAATTCCTAAGAAGGACTTTTCTGCTGGACACAGCTACTGACCTGCAGCATCTGAAGATAGCCTTCTTGTGGATCACACAGCAGTGATGATATTCGGTGATTGTTCCTCATGCATCTCTGACTGTTGTCCCTTGAAAGAGGGAAAATTTGCCGGATAACTGTCATCCTCCCCAGAGCACTATGTACCAACTCTAATATTTCATTATCAGTGATTTCCTGTGAATGGAGACACAGTCTTTTAAAAACATATATTTGTCCAGACATCTTATACATTATGTTCATGATCAGATAAATGTTTTTAAAAAGACAACAGAAGAAAAAAGTTACAGACATACATGCTTAGTCTAGGCAAATGTTCTTATTGTGTGTTTAATAACAACGGTATTTTTTTACGCATCATCTGAAACAAAAGAAAACAACACAGTACCATCTATCTTGGCAATACTAACATACTGCAGAGGTAGTTCCTCATAGAAAAGCATCAAGACAGTCTCAATAGGTTTCTAAGTAAAAACCAAGAGCCTTCAAACCAAATTTATATAGGAAGAGTGTCAGTTTAACAGAATAGAACATCACTACATCCTCAGAACAAAACAACAAACAGAAAACGTAACCATCTTTAGGAAATATGGACCTTACAACTGAGAACAACGTTACAAGTACTTTTTATAAGAACAGTAGATAATTTCTGCAGACTAATCCTGATAATGACTCAAGGAAGTCTTCTGAGGTTATCTGTATTAGGAAATAAAAAATAGGAGAAACTTCATGGAAGGTATTGACACATTTAGGAATGTAAGTTTCTGCATACAGAATAATTTAGGATAAGATATAAGGAGATCTCAAGGACAGGCTGCTCTTCTTTCCAGGCTTTGCACTGTCTAAAGCTCATTAGCAGACCTTCCCATGTCCCAGTCTCCTAATCCGTCCTGGGACAGAGCCTGCATCTACTGCCCTTATATCGCAACTGAAGTCAACTCAACTACATGCTTTATGTATTTCGCATTTAAAAAAGGCCACAAAACAAACCCCTCTTTTTACACCCCATGATAAATAGTTTGAAAATCATGGGCTTAGCTGGATACTGAAATCATAACAGTGGTACAGCTTGTGATGGTTATTTCCTGCCAGGAGTTCACTGTGGCACTGCTGACTGCTTTCATTCCCCCAGGCGCCTCCTCCACAGGGAGCAGCTTTACATCCCAGGTCCTTACCACTGCCACCAGCAGCACCTGCAGGTCACATCAGTCCATCTCCAGCACACTGGCTGTACAGCTGGGCCAAGCCATTGCTCAGCCTGCACAGGGCTGCTCTCAGGCCCTTGCAGGGAAAGGGGCTGCAAATTCGTGCTGCTGTACTTAGTCAAAAGGGCCCACACCTTGTGATGCGTCATCTGCAGAAGTAAACCTGGCCCTGTACTTTTAACATTCATGAAAAAAAAAATATTTTGTTTTCTTGCCATTTTCTCTGTCAAGCTGTGAGTGAAATGACCATGGGGTTATCGTAATTACTTGTTACGGTTCACTAGTACTGTAGCTTTGACTCAATTTAGTTCTTTGCCTATTTCCCATCATGTTTCAGGAACATGAATTTTTAACTTTGCAGAAGGCGAAATTCATTGCATTAACAACACACCAACTGGTGTGGTGTGAAAACAGAAAATCAGAAAATAAATATATTCTTATAGAAGCCAAAGATTTTGAGGCTTAATAGAAAATACTGGGCAACACCTGCAGCCTTGCAGGGAGACACCAAAGGAGACCCACAAGCTCTACGGAACCCTCCAGACTGTTGCCTTGGATTTCTTTTCTGTGGGGCTGAGGGGTGTCAAAGCCACGCAGCATGTCTAAGCTGCAGTCTGAGGAAGACAATTTTATGGGGTAGGTTTAACTCACAACCCCCTAGGCTGCATCCCTTGGCAGGCAAACTCAGACTGAGATGATGGAAACAGAAAAAAAGGTCATCCAAACTTTCAGTTCATGTTGCACCACACACATTTTATGTCCTCCCCAAGTGATGCACAGCCTTTCAAAGACATCTCATAACTTGTGTCAAAATGCTTGACCTGAGACACGTAAGCCTATACGTAGCAGATCAGCCCTGCTTCCTCCATGGGATTTCCAGAAGTAAGGTAGTGGAGGAGATCAATTACGTTAGACACACTAACCCAGGTTCTTCCCACTTAGCTATAGGCACCAAGCGAGTCTTGAATGTAAAAAGCCCAGTTACTGTACAGCCAAAGAAGAAAAATGGGAGCCTTTGGCTGAAAATTCAGAACCTAAATTGGGCTAAATCTGACTCTGAAAGTGCCACCTTTTTCTGTGTGGACAGCTGACAGTACCTAAACCCTTCAATGTTTCAGTTCAGTTCATAACACCAAGGGGAACACAACTTCTCTATTTTTTTCAGCTGATGGGCATTCATACCAGCAAATGATCCATTCCTTTTAAAAACTGGGTTCCTTTTTAGAAATGTAAAAGCCTAGAAAATAAAGTTGTTGTTGGAAGAGCTGGGAACAAAAGGTCTATGTCTGCATTTTTGAGCTCGTTGCTCTAAAAGCAAAAGGTAATATGAGCCTTTCCATGCCAGTTCACAGGGTAGTACAGCCACAGCAGCATCACAGGGCACCTCAGGCAGGTCCAGGAGCAGGAAAGCGTGGCTGAGTGCCTGAACCGGAGAGGAAAGCAAGTCGCCACCATCCTGCACCAGAGTGGCCCAGCTGTGGCTTCCCTGGCTGGGGGACTGCGCCGCTTACTCCTGCCTGGCATAGACAGGCCCTGAAGACTTGTTTTCCAGAAAGCTCACAGTCCTGGCTCAGCAGCACGTGAAATCTTAAATGTCACATGCAGAAAGGTCACCTGCGTTCCAAATGTGACAAATACATGGGGGAAAAAAAAAAAAAAAAAAGAAAACAACAAAAAAAAAGAAAACCAAGAATATGTGAAGTTAGGTCTTACTTTTACATCCATCAGAATAACAGCATATATCAAAAAAGTAGTTCTAAGCCTTGGAGTCACAGGGGAAAAAACATTCCACACTGACCTTACAATTAGTCTATTCATCTAGTTATTTGTTTAAAAGTAATGCGTTTACTGTACATGATATATGAAAATTTTCTTTACACTGTGAAACTAGTAACTAAGCAAATAATTTCATTTGGTCCTAGAGGGTTTTGGGTTTTTTTCAGACAAACGTATTGCAAATTTCCAATCTTGTTCTTGGATCATTACACAGCACAAGACTGCACACAGCAATTAACATTCATACCACGCTATATTCTAAGTGAATGCTGTATTCTAAGTGGAGCTTATCAGCTGGCTTGGCAAGGCAAGTGCTCCTTGCAAAATTCCGTATCATATGCCCACTGTTTGCTTTCATGATCCCATGATGTTGCTACTGAAACACGGTGTAAATCTTTACTTAGTATAGATGGTGGCTTCTTCTTTCACAGATAGGCTTTAAAGAAGGCTAAAGAGCCTAACTACTGTTTGTCACCTTTAATAACAGTTTGCGCTCAGGCCTGAAAATATTGAATTGCTTGAATAAGGATGCAGGGAAAGCACTTTACCCAGGGATAAAAGACATTACCTTTTCTAAGTGCCCTTTTGCTGGAATTTTCCTTTACTAAGGGAGAGAATTTGGCTATTCCAAATATTTCAGAGAGCACTTAAATATTTTGGTAGGCAGACATAAGTGTAAGGCTGACTATTCACCCAGGCTAGTAGTAGTTCTCAACACCCAACTCAACACTGAAAGGGTATTCCTTTAAACAACGTATTTTCTGTTCATGTGGCATATTAATTACTCTTCAAGAATTTGTGGCACTTATTTATCTATTTATTTGCACACAAATATTGGTCATTTGTGGAATTAATTTATATATTTATTTATCTGCACACAAAGAACTTCAGTTAGTTTGTAATACCTAGCCATATCACTCAGGGGGATACTTAAATCTGCTCTAGTTGTGCTCAACTATCGTAACACAAATTGCAAAATGAGACAATTATGTTTCACATTACAGTCTCTATTTTCCTAGAGGTAATGACAGAAAATTATAAATTTTAATGACATTAATAATTTAAAGAACCAAAACAGATTTTTAGAAAGCACATCCCTGAGAAAACTGGAGGATTAAACTGAATGGCAATGAGGACAAGGATGCTCATGGAGACAAGCTACATATTTATGTGGAATTTTTGCATTACAATTAATACTGTTTGTTGGGTTATTCTAATTCCCCTCAATGCACTATATACATCTATAAAGGGACACTTGTTCACTTGTTGAAAATCCAGAAAACATCCTTCAATTAGCTATTTTTTAAAAGGTTCATGACAGCTTACCCTGTAGATAGATTTATTCAACTTTAACATCATACTGGCTTCTCTGCATCCCACATGAACAGACACACACACATATATAAAGATTAATCCTTCAAGGCAAGGGCACAATCCATTTTTCATAGCACAGAAAACATTCTAATATAAGTCTGCATGACCACCTGTCCAACTCCCATCCTCATTGTCGTCCCACACATCCAACACTACCTTACTTCTCTTCCTTTTACCTGATGATCCTAAAAATCTCCACAGGGATGTATTTATGATTTAATGAATTATCCCTAATTCTACATATAAAGGACTCTGTACTAGGTGTCCAGAAGTCTTTCTCGGATCATAGTGAGTGCCTATACAGTAAAAGATCCACTGATTTACAGTAAAAGATCCTCTGATTTACAAACTATTATTCCATAGTAAAAAGTATTTATCTCAGTTAAAAAAAAAAAAAAAAAAAAAAAAAGATACGCAAAATGATAGTTATCAAAATCTGGACAAAACAAAAAAAATTACCACTGATATAAACAGCTTATCAAAGCTCATCTAACCTTGCTCCTAGCAGACTAAGACCGTTTCTGTGTAATTCAACAGCATTAGAATTAGGTCAATTCTGAACCCAGCAGCAGGTAAAAATGCAGTACAATTTCACATACAGGTATACCTTTCAAGCATATATAAGAAAATCATGCCTTTTTTTGGAAAATAAATAAATAAAAATTCCATGATGTCAAAGATAGCAGCCAAAAGGAAAGACGCAAGATTTCTTTGGGCAAGTGGTAAATATAGAGTACCTGGAATAAAACTGGAATAAATTGTCATTGTAAATTGGTAAGTTTTGCGTTGAAACGTGTCATTTGCTAAATCCTGGGAATTCTT